TTATAGTATTATATTTATTTTTATAAATGTTTATTATAGAAAAATGTTATACTCATCAAATGATTAATGTTATTTTAATCTTCTAATTTATTTAAAATATTCTTTGTTTATAAACTTTTTTTCCATAAATATTCTTTAGTTTATTCATTTTATTTTAATCCAATTTATTTTATTTACACAAGTCTCTTTGTTGTTTGTTTAATGAAATTAATATTACTTGTTCTAAAGTTCAAATAGTTTTGTAGAATATCAAAGTATCAGATTGAAATATGAAACTGACTTTAGTTCAAAGAATTTATTTTTTTTATTTCAAAGAACATTTATTTTCTAATATAAAAAAATCATTAAAAAAAATTTAACTTAACTTAAACAATTCATTTATGGGTTTCAGCAACAACACGAGCAAATTCTTCTTTCTTGCAAGCAGTTGCAATAAATGGAGATTCTAATATTTGTTCTGAGGTAGGTCTTTGATTTGGATCTTTCATTAAACAACTCTCTACCAATTTAACTAGATCAGGTGACCAAGAATCACGTTCTTTTAGTGGTGGAATACCTTTAGTAGTAATTAAGAATAATGCTCTTAATGGTGGTAATTCCATATAAGGTGGATCTCCTTCAGTCATTTCCATTATCATAATTCCTATAGACCAGATATCTGCTTTAGCATCATACAATTTGTTTCTAATAACTTCTGGTGCCATCCAATAAGGTGTTCCTACAATAGAATTCCTCTTATCTCTTTGAGAGGTTAATTGTGCTGCATATCCAAAATCACCTATTTTCACACTTCCATCAGAGGAAATTAAAATATTATCTGATTTAATGTCTCTATGAATTTTGTGTCGTTGATGTAAATATAATAGCCCTTTCATTACTTCTCTAAGAACATAAGCCATTTGAGGTTCTGTCATTTTGAATCCATTTTCATATTCTGTTAATACTTCTGTCAAACATCCAGAGTCCATAAATTCCATAACAACCCAAACATACCCTTCTTCAAGATAAGACCCAAAGAAAGAAACAATATTAGGATGTTTACAATTTTTCATAATTTCAATTTCATTAATTAAACTTTTCTCATTTTTCGATGTAATAATACATTTCTTTAATGCCATATCTTTTCCAGTTTGTTTATTTTGTGCAACAAATACTTCTCCTGCAGCACCTTCTCCAATTTTACTAAAGTTTTCATAAAAGTCTTCTGGTAATCCTTCTTCTGCTAAATCTTCTAATGTTAAGTCACTTTCTTTCTCTGGTAATACTTCTTCTGGATCTTGAATATCTGGCATTTCAGCAGTATCATCTTCCTCTTCAACATTTTGTTCTGATGTTTTAGAAGGTAAAATTTGATTTAATATTTGTGGTTCAGTTTTCAAATGGAATTTCAAAACATCTTCAAATGCAGCATTTTGTTCTTTATCTGTTTTAATTTCTTCAATTTCTTCTTTAATAAGACCTGATCCCTTAATAAATGCTTCCCACTGTGGTGGATATCCAGTAATTCCAGCTTTCTCATCATACGTCATATGAGTACCTTGTTGAACAGTAAGAACAGTTGTTTCTTCTTTCTTTTTACCAAACAACTTACTGAAAATTCCCTTTTTTTTCTTTTTTCCTGCTCCAGGGAGTGGAATCATCTCAATTGCCAAATCACTTTAAAAGTAAATTTCTTTTCATTACATTTCTGATATCTTCTCAATCTCCTTTACTCTTTCTTAACGTATTAACAAAAAATTGAAACAAACTCTTTTGGGTTATCTACCATTATTCTTTTCTTAGTTCTTTTCCTTTTTTTAAGAAATTTTGGTTTTATCTTTTTGGACTTTTTTCCTTCTGTTTTTATTTGTAATTTTTTAAGTTTTTTGGTTTATATTTGTTGAAGAAATAGTTGAATAAAATATTTATTTAATACTTTGTTTGTTATTACCATATCTAGAAAAAGAACAAACAGTTGTTTAACAATATTCTTCTTTTGGGATATTAACAATATTCCTTTAATTCTTTAATATAAGGCTATTTTTTTATTTATACTAACTATAATTAACTTCAAGAATAATTTAACAAAAAGTCAAACAATACAAAATAACATACCCAAAAACATTTTCTAATTATATTTCCATACATAGAAAATATTCAATATGAAGTTATAATTAATATACTCTATTAATATCTTAAATAAAACGATCGAAATTTAGTTGAATCTTTTTTCACTAATTATTTCAATATAAATAAAATATCTTTTATCTTGTTATATCTCTTTCAGTGAAGGTTAAATGAAGCTTAAATACCAAAATAAAAAACACGGAAACTAGAATATCTTTTTAAATGAAATATTATTTGAAGAAAAGCTTAATAAAATTATCAATTAAATCCAAGAAAGTTGAGTCATTTTAAGAACAGATAAAGAAAATAAACTTTTGATTGTTCTTAAAAGTATAAAAAAAAAGAATAATATGAAAATAAATTAAAGAGAATAATTAATAATAAGAATAATTTTTATTTAGAATAAGAGAATAATTATCATCAATAATTCTATAAAGAAGAGATGTGATGTGGAAGAATTTCTTGTATTTAAAGATACAACTTTAACACATTTACCTAATTCAGAACATGAATAACCAACTCTACAAACACCACAATATAATCCACATTGGCTAGTATTTACATTTGGTGGTACACATTCCATTCCATTGCAATAAGCATCTTTTGAAGTACAAGCTGTTTGATTTGAACTTTTTAAAACATACTTTGCATGCTTTGTTGTAAATACAGTGTTATTAGTATTAAAAAAGGTTATTGTCATTCCATTTCCATAAGTAGTACAACGTGGATTTGAAAATATTTTAATTGTATATAAAGTATGGGTACTATTATAGTTTTGTTTTAGTTGAGTCGTTTGCGAAACATTACAACTTAAAACTACATCTTTTGCAACCGGATTTCCTAAATCACCCAATCCAGTATTAGCAAATTTAAATTCAAAAGTTCCTGATACAATTGCCTGCCATTCAAAATAACTAAAGTGATTAAATTGTTGAATTGGAGATTGAAAAGCAAAAACTGTTGTTAAATGGTCACTTACACTTGAAAACACTGGGTTTGTATAATGATTTATAAAAGACCAATCACTATTTACTTGCATAAAATAACCTTTTAATAATGGGTGTATAACTGATGAACTAGTTTCATCATACAACGAAGTAATAGGTTTAAATTCACAGTGTTCTCTTATATTAGAAGGAAATTTAGAATCAGATTGATAAATAAAAGACTGTTTAAATTTAATATTATTAATTACAACAATTTCAGAATATATACTAATTAGAGAAATTGTATCTGATGTTGTTGGAATTAAATAAAATCCCCATTTGTCATTGTTATAAATAGTATTTCCTATTTGAATTCCATCAATAATTTTATTTGTATTAATCAATGTAACATTAGCCATTGAATTAGAAACAGAATGAACATATAATGATGGGTATGTTGAAAACACACAATCAACTTCTCTCATTGTTACTTGAGAAATTTTAACAGCCATATTTTTGGTTGGTAAAGCAACGGTGTTATATAATCCTTCTGGTAAAATAATAAGTGTATCATAAACGTATTGAGGCATTAATGGGTTTGTTCCAGTAAATGTTCCTATAATAGTACAACGTACTGGAATTTTTGTAGGACCAGTAAGTTCAAGACATTGACCATACCTAAGATGGGTCTTATTTCCTTTAGTTTCGGTAATAACATTTCTTGATACATAACACCCAGCTTTTACTGAATGACCATAAACAACTTGAGTATAATTATTTATAAAAGAATAATAGTCCTTGTCAATTTGAAAATTAATTTTAAATGCGTTGGAGGTATATTCTTTATTTGCAATAAAAAAGTCAGTCATACATCCACTAATTTGGCTATTAACCAAATAAATAACACTGAAAAGAATAAGTAACATAAAGTGAAAGTTTTCTAGTTAACTTCGTCAAATACTATATTAACGAACAAACTATTTTTAAAAAATAATAATATCTTCAATTTATTGGAAATAAATTATAAATTTAAAAAGAGAATATTTTTATCTTTTAATATTCTCAAATTTTCTGGTTTATGTTAAAAATAGACTTTTTCATTTTAAATTTATCATGAAACAAACTCAGTTCTAATTTTATTTATAACAATACTTTCAAACAAAGATTTTTGTCTAAAATTAAAGTTTTTTTCCTTTTTCATCAATATATTTATTTTTTTCATTTGAAATTCTCTTCAAAATTATCCTTCATGTTTTTTATCGGTTTTTATTTTCTTAATATTTCCTTCTTTCATTATTATATCTTTTTAACCTTAACTCCAACGTAGCTAGAATAAGTTCAAAAAACTAAAATTTATAGTTACACTTTCATGACAGTGAAACGAAAAAATATAGAATAGTTTGCTTTTATTTTCTAAAAAAAGCAATAATGCCTATCTATTCTGAATAAAATAAAACTCACCTCAAGTAGTTTAATTCATAAGTAAAATCCATTTATATCGTTTGAGTTAAATATGCTTTTTTTTAAAGAAAATGTATTATCTTTTAAAACACCTTTTTTCATTTATTTACTTTATTCTCTTTTTTAGTCATTCAATTTCTTCTCTTATAATTTCTGCAAATCTTTTACTATTTTCTATTATAATTTTATTTATAGTTTTAATATTCATATTTCAGCTATATAATCCTTCATCACCAACATCATTGATATAACTATTGTCATTTTCATCTTCTAACATACTTTCATACCCTTAATTCGTCATTACTTTTCATTGATGGTTATTATTAAATCTATATATAGAACTATTAATATTTTCAGCTTCTTTTTCTTTCAAAAAATTCTTTTTTTTTGTTAGGCACTGATTTTATTTGCATCTCAATTATTTATTATTATCTTTTTCTTTCAATTTCAAGATATTATTTTCCTCTTTTCCTTTATCTGAATTGTTCACACATATTTCTAATGTGATTTACATTGTTTATCATTTCTGTTTGGTACTTGTCTCTTGTTACCATGAAACTCTATTCTGAGTAAAAAGCATATTTTTATTAAATAATTAACAAAAAGTATAGTTAATTAAAGATATATTTATTAACATTGAACCAATGACATTTCTTATATTCATTAAAACCTCTATCATAAACTCGTTGTTATTACCCAAACTTAGTTAGTTTTAGTGCCAAAAACTCTTTTCATTATGGTGATAATACTACATTTACAAATGACTAGAAGTCATTGTCTATTGCATTTTGTCTTTCTATTTCAGATTTGATGTATAAAAATGACCAGTTCGTACAATTTTGCTCATTGCTATCATTATTTATTGGTTACATTTGATCATTGTCGTTCCATTTAGACATATTCTAATTGTTATGCCATCTATTTCTAGTCTATTTTCTTTTCTTTATTATTGATTTCTTTATTATTTCTTATATCTTCTACGAATCGAAGATGGCACGTCTGAAACACCTCACACAACCCTAAAATCTCCAGTTATCAATTGGTCATGATGTGCCTTTGGTGAGATAGTATCGGTTCAAAACCAACTGGTTATTATTTATTAATATTTATTATGAACGATTATTAAGGAGGTATTATTTATTAAGAAAAACTCTATATAAATCGTAATCTTATAATTAATTAAATATAAGGGTATTATCAAGAAAAAAGGGATTATTTAAGTGATAATTAGGATAAATGAGATGAAACATAATTATAATGATATGGATATACTTTCCTTAAAATAACAATATTAAGAATGATGATAAATTAATAATCATTAAAATCGAAATGAAATAACAAGTCAAAAGAAGAAACATTTACTTTGATAATGGTTGAAAAAAACATTTTTTTAAAGAAATATGTATGCTGAAGAAACTGATTGGCATACTTCTCAGTATGATGACATGATGAAAATCGAACTATTAGGTTAACCATAATTGACTAATTTTTTTATTATGTCTTCTTCTTAAAATGTTTATAATACAAAAATTGAAATTAAAAAGAATATGAATGAATATAAAGAAATAATAAAGAAGACA